TTTTTTTTTTTTTTTTTTTTTTTTTTTTTTTTTTTTTTGGTGGCTGGCCAGTACAGGGATCAAAAACCCTGGACCGTTATCAGCACCATGCGGTTGTTTAAGTTTTGATTTGGATTCCTGGCTAGTATTTACAGTTATCATCAGTATTTTTTTTATTAGGGTACAGGGTACAGGCAATTTGGTATTATTCACACTTTAACATCACCTTCTGGCTGTCATGGTGACTGTCATGGTGACATGGCGTGTAAAGGTAAAGTTCATACCTACTAAGAATAATGCCAATGGGACAATTTTCCTGGATATATGTGTAAAGGCGAAATTAATGCTTAATAGAGTTTTCTTTCCTTTTTAAACCGCAGACCCGGATGTAGCATTTGTACCTCTTGGAATGACAGATTATTTAGTCATCGTGGAGGAGGATGATTCTGCCATCATTCCTTGTCGCACGACTGATCCTGAGACTCCTGTTATCTTACGCAACAGTGACGGGGTAGTGCCTGCCTCTTATGACAGCAGACAGGGCTTTAATGGGACCTTCACCTTCGGTCCCTATATCTGTGAGGCCACCGTCAAAGGGAAGAAGTTCCAGACCATCCCATTTAATGTTTATGCTTTAAAAGGTACTTGTTCCCTCCCTCCTTTAAATAAGAGTAATAGGCAAAATCATCGGGTGCATGTAGGATTTTTTTTCAATCGCAGTTACTGGTGATGGAGATCCTAATTTCGATTTGGGGATTTAGGACCCCCACCTTTGCAAGAGGTCTATGTTAGGTTGACCTCTGTGGCTATAATAAAACTCAGCTTNGAAAAGTGATTTTAATTTTGAGCAAAGATTGTAGTTGTAGACTTTATCCTTTTGATGTGTGCGGTTAGCATGAGTGGGAAAGTGTAATATACTTGAGGTTGGCAGGTATTTATTGAGCATGTACTCTACATAGAGGCATGGCAGCAGCAGGAACATGCCATTTAACTCTTGGTAAGGGCTATTTTGTGCCCAGCACTGTGCTAGGTTCTGAAAATAACTGGAGAGCAAGAGTGGCAGAGAAGTGGGGAAATTATGGTATAAGATCAAAGTGCCCAGAACAGTGTTGGCCAGTAAAGGTTAGTTGATTAAGTGAATAAATACATTAGTAAAGGTGATCGCAAAATAGTATAGCCATAATAACTCAAGCGCTCAGGAATGTGGTGTGCTGTTTAATTGGAATTTATTTTTAACGGTTATTATTTTGTATTTCTGTATTTTAACTGCATGCCAAATTGTGTACATCAACTCAAAATCAAGGCTTTTGAGATTTTACAAACTTTGTCTTGATCAAACTGGTTTGCAAATTA